TTTATCCGCGACACATTAAAGGCCGGTCGGTGAAAATATTGTCGGGCATAAACCGGTCCGTGGCGCAAAAAATGTTGGAGACCGCTGCGCTAACATACCTGTAGGTCGCTGTTTTAATGAGTGTTTGATGGAAAACAACAATGGCGGAGTTTGCGCTCTCCAGTCACATGATAGTTGAGTCCTAGTAAATAATTTTCCAGTACGTGTACGTTACACACGCTATTTTTTAAAATTATGATTATTTTGCTATCAGACTCGCTGGAAAAATGATTGAAATGCACTGAGTGTGATGCAGTATGGCAGCGCTGTTATGGAATATGCTGTGAACTTAGCTAACATTATTTAGCAGTAATATGAGTTAATTTACTCAAGTGAAAGCTTTAAACATTAGCCTGATACATAACTAGCCAACTTAAGGCTTTCTGGTTAACCCTCTGGGGTCGACGGGCCCAGAGTCTCCATTTCAACTTGGGTCGAACGTGCGGACTTCAAACTGTATACCAGTGTTTAAATTGTGTGATAGGCCACGTAAAACCGATGTTTTTTGTTTTCAATAAAACAGTGGCGTTTACTCCGGGAAGAAACTGTAAAAACGGCGTTTTCTAAGCGCTAGCAAACACGCTTTTCTTGTGAGTGAAAAACAACAGTCATTGGTGAAAAAAGAAAACAACAACTCCTTCTCTATTGGTGGAAAAATGTACCATGTAGACCAATCAAAAAAACGATATGGCAACATGTGGCATCTGGTTGTTTGGGAAGAGGGGGAAGTTTTAGGAGTGAGCGAAAGAGAGAGACAGTTTTGATACGTGACAAATTTGTGAGGTTTACAGTGTTTGAAGTCTCAAGTAGGGGTGGGCGATATAAACGATATACGATAGGAACAATATGAATTTGGCTAACGATAGAGATTTTGACTATATGGCGATAGCGCATGTTGATGATGTCATCTAGCTGCGCCTGTTTTGGTTGAAAGCATCGCAGCGGCTACAACCATTATCATTATAAGTGCCTGTTGGTTGAAAACCTGCGCCAGAGTTCTGGCAGGCAGGCCAATGATTTTAGAGCACACTGATGCAGTGCGCTGCAGTCTGTTCTTGTTCTGAAGGCTGAGGGAGTGGAACCAGCAGGTAATGGAGAAGGTCATGATGCTTTCCAGGAAGGCGTAGTAAAGTCATCATGATGGGTGTGCTGACTCCAAAGGAGTTGAGTTTCCTAAGGAGGTATAGCCATTGGTGGCACCTCCTGAGAATCTCCTCTGTGTTGGCAGAGAATTTCAGGAGGTTGTCAAAGATGGTTCCCAGGTATTTGTACTCCTCAGCTACCTCCACTGGCTTCCCGTGGATGGTGGTGGTGGCTGCCTACTGGAGAAGGTCACCACCATCTCTTTGGTTTTGCTCACGTTCAGTTCAAGTTTGGAGCTGTCGCACCACTCTACAAACTCCTGCAGAGTGGGCCCGTGGTGCTGTGAGGGGCCTGACAGGAGAACTGTGTCGTCAGCATATTTCACCAGGTGACAGAGCTGTGTGGATCTGCAGTCATCGGTGTAGATGATGAAGAGCAGGGGGGAGCGCACACAGCCCTGGGGGGAGCCAGTGGAGGTGGAACGGAGACCGGAACGTTTACTGTTTAGAGAAGGATAGAAGGAGCTTCACGGTGTCCTTGGTCGTGTCCAAATTCATGGGCTGCATCCTCCTGAGGCCGCATTTGTAGACCGATTACGTCACAGCGACGCGCCGAAGGCTGTCCAAATTCGTAGACTCCTCCGAATGCAGCCTTCGTGGCCTACCATATCCCAGAATTCATAGCGCGGCCCAGCCAAACTCCAGTTTCCAACAATGGCGGCCGCTACTAAGTTTTAAAATTACTCATACTAATCTTTCTGGGTCACAAAATAAACTTTTAACATATTTTCAGGCGAGAAAGTAGCTGTGTAAACATCAAATATCTGCTCGGTTTATCAAGATATCGCATATTTGCAAAAGTGCTTCGACGTTTTCGGAGACGTCTGCTACCCACCAGCTCGACAGCTAGCCGGGAGCTCGAGGGTTACTGATGCGGCCGAGAACGGCACAACTCCCGGCACATCATTTTCAGATCACCGCGGACTTTCGCTGCTCGGGTTAAACGTAATATATAAGTCACTTAGACAACCTAAAAATGTTATTGTTGGGCTTTTTTCAGTGTTTTGTTTGTTCGTGAGTAAATCGGTTTGGCTGAGATTAAAGTTATTAGATTAGATAAAATAAAACTTTATTAATCCCCCGGGTGGGTTCCTCCTTGGTTTTCACACAGCTGACTAAACGTCAAACAGAAAACTTATTAAACAGAAGTATGAGACAGTCGAGAATTTACACCAGTGTCCAGACGGCTGAGTTTATTAAACTCCACCGAGACAGCGGTGACGCTAATCAGAAGGCTAGACCGTCCAATTTCACGGCCATTTACTTCCGGCCTACCCGACCTTCTGAGGACCCGGCCCACGTAGACCGCGAAGGCTGGGTCCTCAGGAGGATGCAGCCCATGAATTTGGACACGACCTTTGTGTGCCAAGAGAGGTACTGTGTTAGTGCATGAGAGGGTGGTGCAGACCTCCTCCAGCTTATCTGGGGAACACTGAACACTTTGCTGTTACACTCAGCTCTCTCTTTACCACAACGAGCCGGTGCACAGTGTCTGCACCGCCGACCCAATCTGTCAGTTTTAAAATATTCCATAACCATCATCTCATATTATTTTGTCTTAAATGTTCTTGTCTTTCTTTAAAAATGGCTCCTATCATTTCTGGATGTCACTTACATTATAATTTCTTGGCACTATCCTATGGAGAACCTGTATTTCCTTTCTTTTTTTCCTTCTTGGCAGTGAGTGTGGGGTGACAGATTAAGCTACGTGGTCCTCCACCTGTTTTCTTCCTTTTCTGTTAGTTTCTGTTAGTCTTAGTCTTGGTTTATGGGTTTGGAGACAAAAATACAGGAGGCCTATCTGTTACGGAGGAGAATAGGAAGACTCAGGGGAGTTTTATGAGGACATGCAGACGGTTGGTATGACAGAGGAGGATGCTGGGATAGGAGGAGAGTGAGGTCCATTTTTAGATAATCTGTTACTGATTTATTCCCCCAGGCTCTTATTTTGAAAATCTAAATCTGTGGGTAACTTAAAAAAAACAAAGAAAGAAAACTTTTTTAAAACAGGTTCTGCTGCGTGGTTCTAGACGTGAAGGTGCAGAGAGCTGCGCTGCATTTACTATATATATAAAAAATTTGTTTATTTTTGCATCTGTTTGGTTTTTAACTCTATCCCCTCTGAAAGGATCCGGGTGGCAATGGAAAACTTCCTTCAGCTGCCTTTCTGGGTGCAAAAGTTCCACCTGGCGGGAATCAAACCAACAACCCTGCGAGTGTCTCTGCTTGAGGAGAAGGCAGAGCTCAAGTAAGGCGAGCTCATCTCACGTAGTTTGGAGGCTACAACGGAGCACATTTGCAGATCTTTCTTGTGTTCTTCTGCAGACCGTCGGCTCGGTGGGACAGCTCTGCCACGCTCTTCCTGCACAAGCTGCTGCAAGGTGAGTGTTATTGCTGCTGCTTGAACGCCATTAACATTAGTTTTTGTGTTTCGGTGCGATGCATCTCTGAGCTCGACTCGTCTTTCATCTCACAGCATCGACCCTAAAGGAGGCCGTGCTTCTTGAACCTGAGTCAGACTCTACCCCTATCAAGCTTTACGTGACTGTTGGTGACATCAAGGTGAAGTTTGACTAAAAAGCTTTTATTTTGCACGCAGACTTGTTTGGAGACATGTGATCACGTTTGTATTAACCTTTCTTAAACAGATCTGTGTGAATGACGACTTGGTGGCGAAGAGGTTTGCCTACTACAGCACAAAATCAGGCGATGGCCTGGAGGAGGGAGACCGACTTCCTGTGATGCTGTCCTACAGCATCTTAACCCAGCGCGTCTCCCCCAAGCCGACAGCACAAACCCAACCGCCTCCCGGTAAACAGATATATGAACTCTGGCTCACCGCTCTCAGCACATGTTGGTTTCATCCATGTTTGATTTGTCTGCCACAAATCAAACATGGATCCATCTGCTGCGGTGGCCCCTCAGGAAACAAAGGAAATAAAATACCTGGTAGTTTGCATTAATGCTTAACACCTCCTGCTCTTAACAATTGGCTACTTCTCTACCATCATTTCTGCTCTTATGAGCTTTTCAGTCTGTTGAGCTCTGGATCGCTGCAGTGCCATGATTTGTTCTTTTTCAGTCATCTTATTGCTGCCGAGCTTTATCTGTCGGGCTGATGGCCTGAAACATGAAGGAGAGTGCACCTTCTTATTCATATGACTGTATTCGTTCCGGTGCTTGTTTCTGTGTCCCAGATCAGCAGAGTCTGGTTGAAGCTGGGGGGGCAGCTGATTGGCTTACAGCTCCTTCCCTGCCTCCTCAGGTATGCAGCCCTGCTAGCTCACTCACTTTTATCTGTGTTCTAATGAAACAACCACATGTGCTGAACTCTCACGTCTCTGCTTTAGATTGTACAACACAAGCTGGTGAAGGCTGGAGGTGAACATGGGTCAGTGGTCACAAAACGACAGCTGTCTCCAAACAGCCAGTCAGGGAGCGGCTCAGACGCAGCTGAGAGGTGAGCGCCCGTTCAGTTGTTCAGTTCAGCAGAGTTCCGATTACCGTATTTTCACGACCATAAGGCGCACTGTACTAAAAGGCGCAGTCTCAGTTATGTGTGCCACGGCGCGCCCTATAGCGCAGTGCGCCCTGTGTGTTGTAAGGAGGACGTAGTAGAGAACACCATGAGAACGCTAAAGGGTGAAGTGTGGGCGCAACCCTGAAAATGGCAAAGAGACACGCTTATGAAGCACAGTTTAAACTGAAGGCCATCAGCTACGCGGAGGAACATGGAAATCGAGCAGCGCGC